CTGGGTTTCACTTCACAAACAGTCACACCACTTGACACCAGTTACCTGAGAAGCACTTTCCATATGCACGTTTTTCTTTGCGTGATCGTACTACATTTCCATTCGTCAACGACGGATACAGTGCATTTCACTTAATTGATTTCGGACATTTTCATACTCCATTTAATTGCATAACAATTTCTAAGTACCAAAAATTCGATATTTGTTGGTATGATATTGCACTCCGCCCAAATGCATATCGTAATTGTATGAAAGGTAGCCATCGATTTCATTCAAACCTGTATATTTAGTCTAGGTTATTGCATTAGTTGAGGAGTTGACTGAGATGTACGTATGACAGAGAAAGAGCTCAGGGAGCCACAGGAAGTTGGTGCAACTAACTTTGGATAATTGCACACTCCACATAATTGCATTGCATCGGTCTTTATGCAATTATACGGTGCGCACTGCAGTTCGATTCCCTTGTTATCTCCCCGTTCTAGGAGCAAAGCTCACAGTTGCCTTTGCTGCAGTTGGCTCAGACGGGGGCACAATCGCTCAATTGACCTACAAATGAAACGGTTGTGTCTTTTAATTTCAATTTTAATCTTCAAATCAGAAGTCCAGATTTTTCTCTTCCGCGCCTGTTTCCTTCAGGAGCTCATTATTTTAATTGGTGCTCGTGAAATAATGAAAAAAAGTTCTAGGGTCATTCAGCCATGAAGGATCGTGTTGCCACCATTGCAGCTGTCGAGTAAGCCTGTCACAAGATTAGCGTTCAACCTTTGAACTGGAGAACTTCATTTCTCCCTCCTTTCCGCCTCGATTTGCTTCATTCGTGTACACCGAGTGCGTTTGACTGAAACGTTCTGAATTAACACCAAAAGCCGTCGAATCAAGAAACTTTTTGATATTTGCCGAAGCCACCGTGAAATATTTAATGCCAAGGATTAGCATTCAAAGCAGCCTTCAGTGACACGGCTTTGAAGGAAGAAAACTACCCTTGAGATCTGGTATCGCACAGCAGTTTAACATTTGAAAATGTCTATGTGATTAACCTAATGCATCCATCCTGCGTGTGGGTACAGTTGTACTTCTTACATTGCAGCTCACAGGTTTTTTTTTTAAGGTTACTAGGATGCGAATGGCTTGAATGTATAACTTCGATTTTATTTTATGTAGTTTAAAAAAAAGCCGTGTTTCAAAATATCTGCGGGTAAAATTGGATGCGTGTCGTCGAGTTGATGCTCCAGCATCACCTTAGCTCAGTTGGTAGGACTCTTACCTACGTCCTGGGTTGAAGTTGGGAATAGGTGCTGTCATCCAGATAAACCGTGGTCCACAGTATCAGCTCAAGCTCCACACTTGATCTGCCATCTTCTACCTCCAAGGCAAGAGTGTTTCTGACTGAAGCGAGAGCCAAGCTGAGAGAAGCCTCAGACTCTTCCTGAATATTACCTCCTCAAATACCCCAAGTGACAGTATTAGCAGTTCAGGCTGCTGACAATGGGAACAAAGTAATGAATGCGTTAAATGTGTTTATCCAACTGGAAGACCTTAACTGATTATTCCACTGATGCAAATGTTGCAGAAAGGCTTTTGCCCTAATTGTAGAAAGTGCACGAAATCTTTAGCGACTCAGGGTTTCGGTCTGTGATCAGTTTCGTCTGCGAAACAAGAAGAGTTGTTTTTTTTTGATGAATGGGCCAAATGGGTTATTTAAAGCCAACCGCCCGCACCTTTCTTCCATTGCAAAGGGTTTCCCAGAATAACCTCGACACGAACAAGGGAGAATGAACTAGGTCTTATTGGATTCCTTTTTCAGCGCTGCCACACGCACACACACACACACACACACACAGACTTGTGCTTGGGGTGATATGCTGTCAGTGAATTACTGAAAGAAGAAAGAGCTTACGTTTTTATAACTCTTTGTATCATGAAATGTCTCAATAGGCTTTTAAGTGGTAGTGACTTTTTTTTTGCACAGGGCTCCCAAACGGTTTGTGAGACGCAGAACTGATTAATATGGAGGATTGTTTGGCGAGGACACCGGTGTGATACGGAACCCCGCTTTTCTTTCTCAAATCGTGCCGTGGGAACTTTAGCGGCCAGATAAACAGGAAAGACAGGACTGTGGTTTTGCATCTCAACCGAACTCTGCTGCCCGTCAAAATCGCAGCACAATCGCAGCGTTGGGGCAGTTGTGTTTGAATTAGCTCCGTGTTGCGGCCAACGAAAAAAAAAAGAATAATAACGGGTCGCTCAATGCGCGACGGTTTGTGGAGGCACTGCCGTGCGCAATCGGCTGCCCCGTTTTTCCCGCAAAATATTCAGTAAATTCGCTTGAGAGTGTGCCCAATGCAATACAGTACAAGATTACGTTTGTAAAGCGCCTTTCACGTCGGGGGACGTCCCAAGGTGCCGAACAGTCGGTGTGCATTCACTTTACACACTATACAGTTACTTTGAGATGTCTCAATCACATAATAAAGCGCGATATCAAAGGAAAATGTGGGGAATCCCTTCTACACTTTTCAAAGTCCTTGGTTTGCGAACTCTTTGCTATTTCCTCCCCACCCACCCACCCACCCCCTCATCACGATTCCTTAAAGGGAAGTTTTCTTGATCTTCGAGACCTTGCACAACAGATTCCTCCCTGTCAAAGGGTTGGGACGGGGGCAGAGATGGAGAGTTTTTTTAAAAAAATCAAAGGGCAAGTCACCACGGTCTATTTATCTCTCATTTTTTCTAGGTCACAGGGCAGCACTAGAGGCCAGGGACAGGTTGCAGGCTCGTCCTGACTGGAATGAGGCGTGCAGGGCGAGGAACAAAAACAAAACACTTTCTTAGGGTTACTTTACTGCGCCTGCAAATAAACAGCTTAGAGTTGATATTTTCAGCGCTCCGGGAGCCGGAATGTAAATGGGAATTGTTGTTCTTGTTGTTATTATTATCCTAAACCCAGACAGTAATATCTTGCACTTTGTATTGCACAATAGTTTGCCCGGCTATTTGTGCCTGATAGCTGGGCAAACAGGTTGAGGTTTTTTTTTAAAAAAAGAGAGAGAGATTCGAAAATTGTTTGCCTGGAGGTCAAAGGACCTTGTGTATGGGTCACAGGATGTCATTTAAGCAGAGTTACTCTGTGGAATGTGCATTTGATGGCTGGCATTTGTGTTTTTTTTATTTACCACTGCCCAACCCCCCCCGTATATAAGATTCCGTGCTCCAGAGTAATTCTGAACACAGTGGTGAAATAGGACCTCTTGAGCACGTAAGCTTAATTCGGTCGTTCTACCCTCGAACGTGCCAAATGAATTCACCTCATGTGCCCCCATCACCGAGGGTCTATTGTGCAGAGCTCAAAATGCTTGAATCATTATTTAACAGACCTTTTCGGTGTTGATGTCTTCCTGTTTAATCCCAGTATTTACTGATGCCGGCTGCTTTATTTGGTTAACCGGAAATACACAGGTTGTCAGTTACATATTGTTATATACACAATAATTATACAATAATATTCAACACACCTCATGCCTTATCATCTTTAACTTTGCGTATTTCAAAAGCTGGACGGCTACAATTTCGCTTTCATTGAAAAGAAATGCGGAAAGTCTGGAGAGTCGCGTGATTTGAAGCGGTCCGTGAGGAAAAGTGTCTTGGAATTCTCGGTCTGAATTTTCCCCGCTTCAATTCTCTCTGCACCTCTACTGCAGGCTGATTCTCAAAGTTTCTTTATAGGTTGATTAATAATAATAATAATAATAATAATCTTTGCATTTGATCGAACGCATTATCACGCCGTCGAGACGTCCCAAACCGCTTCACGGTTCGGTCGACTGCGTACGGTGAATCGCGGCAGCCAATTTTGGAACGAGTTAAAGCAGGCGCATACTTGACTCTATATGGATAAAACGTGCAACGAGGGGGAAAAAAAAATAACCAACCTGCCCATTTTTTACAGTTTAAACCGTAATTAGAAGGATGTGGGAGGAATTTATTGTGGGTTCTATTGTGGGTTCTGAATCTAGTTACGAGGACAGGTGTTTTGCTGTCTTGGTGCTGCCACTGACTGGTCGTGCGTTGATATTACAGGAAGATATAATAGTACAGCAAAACCTTGTTAAACCATCGTTCAGTATAGTATAGGAGAAAGCAGGTTATATCGGCTTTTTTTACATAAGAAAAACTTCTAGTCCTAATTCTACTTAGTGTAGACTTTGCCTTCTCACGTGATTTTAAATGTCCGGAGTTCAGGGTTTCGATTTTTCCGCTCTTCTTTAGTTAAGAAAGAATTGACGGGATGTTTAGGTATCCCTCCGCACGCGGTTACGCGCTGTAATGTTTTCAAGCTTCGCAATGATCGGAGTGATTTTTTTTTTGAACCTTTCAACGCAATTCTGATCTTGTGCAGCATATCACAGAAAACCGATTTACAAAGTAAAACCCTATCCAGTGTCACATGTAGTTCCTCTTGAATGATAGCGATTTAGCTGAGAGGCTATAATCTAATCGAATATTTGAGGTAATAACCTCAGCACCGCAGGAACACAACTTGGGTAGTTTATTGCATCATGTGCACCCTGAAAATAGATTTATTTCGTCCCAACGTTGCTCCCTGATGGGTTAGTTTATTGCAAACGTTTAAAAATGCTAATTTCTAATGTTTTGAATTGAAACTTCTGATGACCCGAATGGGGCTGTCAGAAAAGTTGCTGTTTCTCGCTTGAGGTCAATTGATAAAACAACTAATTCATTGGTTATTTATTCAATGGTTTCGGTCACAAAATACACCATCGATCCGCTCCACAGTACTTCCTGTGAAGCATTTTGAGACAGCTCGACGACGTGATAAGACGCTCTTATCAAATGCGAGGATTCTTAATATCAATAACGGGGGAAAAAAGTTTTTGCAAATTGCTACTGTTTTCTCATTCTTCGCACGATGGACAGATTGGTGCTGAATATCATCCCCTTCATAATTGTATCTATTAGCTTGCTGATGTTTAATGTTTCAGAGCAAACGAGACCATCTGTTAATGAATGTCAAGTGGTACTATCGTCAGTCAGAGGTGCCTGATTCAGTCTACCAACATCTGGTTCAAGACCGACATAATGAGAATGGTGAGTACTTACTTATTGTACCCAACGCTGAGAACGGTGTGTGCTACAGCACTTACTTTACTGTACACACCCCTGTGAATGATGTGTATTTTAACACTTTGTGTAACTGACGATGACAACTGTGACATTCGCCACTGGACATTTTAAATGTCCATCTCCCCCTTGCTTTTCTCTCCTTACTCTCTTTTCCCCCCCCATTTCGATTCCCATACACTTCCCCTCGGTGTTCTCTGAGAGAGACAGACCTGCCACCTCAAGGTCGCTTCTGATAAGGCTCCTGTTATTGCTTCACGTTTCCATGTGGCAGGCTATTGCTTTTGATGCATTTTCCTGTGTCATTAGGATGGCGAGATGATAAAACCTCCCTGAAGTGTTGATTTTTATCAGGGACTCGACTGTATGACAGTTTGTGTCTTATATCAAAATCGTGTGTTTTTTNAAAAGAAAATCATATCGTGGGGACCCAGTTAATCATTCTTGTTTCCTGTAGATTCTGGTCGTGAGCTCGTGATAACAGACCCAGTAATTAAGAGTCGGGAGCTCTTCATTTCGGATTACGTCGACACCTACCATGCTGCCGCCCTCAGGCAAGTTTCCAATGACTCGAGCGAAGTTTTGAGCCTGAAATTATAAGGTGTTAATAAAGAGAAAGTCAAAAATGTTACGAAAACGGATGTCAATGATTTTAATTGATCCAAAATTCGACCAAGACGTAATTCTCAGTATGTAACAGTAGTCTGGGGGTGTTTCTTATTTAATTTCTCCTGGGAAGTGTTTTCACAACAACGACATCAATTGTATCCTTGTAATCTTTTCAGAGGGAAATGCACCATATTGCATTTTTCCGATATATTCGCTGCCAGAGAGTTTACACCAAGGCCGGACCAATTTTTTTACATTCTGGGCTACAACCCAGAGACGAGGTAAGCAAGCAATTCCTATTTAAGTGTGTACAGCGATGCTTTACATTGTTTACATCGAATCAAATGTGCACGATTCCATTCGCCACTTGCCCTCATCGCACATCATTCGGAGACAGTTTTGGTCAGAATAAAATCAACTGTTTAGCTCAACATGAACCAAAGACTAACAACACCGATTACTTACGTTTATATAGCGCCCTTCACACGGGGTAGGGTCCGAGAGCAGGCATATGAACTAATCGCTGCCCAGAATGTTTTTGAAACCTACAGAGTTGTCTCTTTGCTCAGCGCATCACTACACCACACGGTTTCAATGGAGGCTTTTTTTTTATAGCTAGTTACTTTTTATGATATTAAATATTTCTGTGTTTTCGATTAGCTTTCTTTTGAGCTCCGAAGGCTTTTTAGCTTCGAACACTTTGGATATTTTCAAAGTGGAAACGGCTAATTTCTTGAAGCTACGGCTTTTGAGTACTGATTTCCTTCACCACCCCTGGTTTGTGGGGCTGTTGTACTTTTTAAGTACTTGGTCATTTGTAAGCGATTGGGAGTATATCTGGGTTTGACTGGTGATACAACAATCAAAGCAACTTACACGATGAAAACAGCAACAACTTAAATTTATAAAACGCCCTTCACGTGGAATAGTGTCCCGGAGTGCTTTCAGGTGGGATAAATAGCTTGATGCCCTCTGCCAGTTTGCCCTATAAATGCAGTCACTACACTTGACATATATGTGTGCTCTGATATGTTTCAGCACTACATTAATATTAATGGTTATTACTGTAAATGCAGCTTTCCAGCTGTCAGCTTTACCCACCCACCCCCTATTTCTGTCCCTTTCTTCTCTTTATTATCTTCTCTTCGGTTTTGGAAGTTTCCTTTTACTTCTTTGTAAATCGAAACCTCAACCCAATATGTCCTGGCGAATATTTACTATCCTGATGCAAGTTCGCACCCTGCGTATTCAAATTAATTTGATCTCGTTATTTGTGGTACGTTGCTAGCGCTATTTGGCTGTGGTGTTTTTAACCTACGTTTGAAAAGAGAAGGGAGTTTCTTCCAGTGTCCTGTAAAAATTCGTCATTTGCCTGTTGGCTGTTTGTGAGGCTTTGCTCTGTGCAAATTCACTTCTGTGTTTGCCTACAAATGTACGGTCGCTAGGATTAACAGCAATTACTGTAAAGCGCTTTCAGATGTTTTGATGTTGTGGCCGCTAAATCAAATGCAAGTATTTAATGCAAACCAAGTTCTACATCTGAGGAAAACTGACCAATACGGAATCATTCATCCTCTGCTGTGATTGGGACATTGCTGTGAATAAATTGGCTGCCGCCTTCGCCTACAGATGAACAGTCACTACACTTTATAGAAAACGCTTGAGATGATTTGACACGATAAAGCTCTCAAGTGCAAGGATTATTGTTTGTTGAATAAAAACATGTTTTTAAAAATTCCCACACGGTTTCAAATGGGTGTATGGAATTTTCTCTTTGTTATCTTGGCAAATGTTCAGTGGATTTGAGACAAAAGTCCAACCCTGCAAGCGGGGGAGGCAATTTGTACAACACAGGGAAAAAAGGAGCAAGTATTGGAGACTGTGTTAGGAAGTGTTAGAAATTAGCCAAATTATTACCACACAAACAATACCACAGCATCAATGAACAACCCACCTAAATTAATAAACTGATTTTGGATGGCTTTGTCATTGATCAACTTTAAACCTGCTTGCTTCTATTTACTGTCAATTCATTCGCCACACCAGCTGAAACTCTGCCACATGAGAAAAGGAATTTAATATGCTGGGATACAGTATATAGTTTGGGATATAACCAGTGCATTGCAACTGCCGGGATGGTGGAAAGTGAACTGGATGTACCTTGGTCTTCTTTTGTCATGCTAGTGCATTCACCCAGTCACTTCACTAAGCTCCTTATGACTGCTACGAATGATAATAATCCTTGCATTTGATACAGCGCCTTTTCAAGGCTTCGAGACGTCTCGGAGCGCTTTGCAGAATATACTGTAAAGTGAATATTAATTCATTGTACGCTGCCTCCTTTATTGGACGCAGATGTGGGTAGAAACATTGTTGTATAAGATTTGGAGACCTATTTGCTATCTGATTCAGATTTTAGAAATTTCCGAGCGCCACCCTGAAATTCCAGACTGTCTGGTTGAAAGCCGGACAGATGCCATTCCTGGTATAAACCCAGGCTCCCTGTTGTTCTTCTCGTAACTTGGTTGAGCTATTAACGGTTGCGCATGTGTTGTCAACAGAAACTTAGTGGAACTTGGCTTCTGTGCTTTTAATTTCTTAGTTAGCGCACACTGTACGCTGCACGCAATTGGCTGCCGCGTTTCGCCCACAAAACATTACAGTCAATTCACTTTACGGTATATTCTGGGAAGGGCTTTGAGACGTCTAGAAGGCACGATAAGGCGTTATATCAAATACAAGGATTATTATTATGGCAGTTATAAAGCAATAATAATAATCCTTACGTTTGATATAGCTGTTTATCACATGGTTGAAGGGTCTCAAAGCGCTTCACGGAATATATTGAAAAAGTACGAGTGATATCAATCGAAAGGAAGTTGTTTGATGACAGTTTTATTATTTGTTTTTAGGAGAAGGCCATTTAGCCCATCAAACCTGTTCAGCTGTTTTATTAGATCATTGCAGATCTTTTAATTTCACGTTTGGTATCCCTTATCGTCATCGTTTGCCGAGTATCGAACTCCCTTTAAAAAATTAGGCATCAGTGGCCTTCTGTGGCAATGGTGTCCTGACCCTTTGTGTAAAGGGGTGTTTAGCCACTGATAGGAGTCGGGCTGAAGAAATTGAGAAATCCTGTTGGTTTCCTTCTGTTCATCCCAAGGTGATGAAATGGTCATTGATTTGGGTATTTTGGTACAGATCAGAAGCGATCGCTGTTGCCTGCGGCAGACGGAACAGTGTGTTTTTAAAGCAGTAACGATAGTCGGGTGATTAATGGGCTCGTTTATAGACACTCGGGGGCTGCAGGAGAATTAGCAGGAGCCGACACTCGGATGCCAGTTTACCTGCCGAGTGGCAGCTGACGGGACGCAGGGAAACGTGGCATCGCTACAGATAAACAGTGCAACAACCAGCCTCCTGTGACGAGGCCACACTCCTGTTTGCTCGGCTGCCGCGTTTCGCCCGCTTTGCGGCGCATCCCGTGAAGCGGTTCGAGACGTCTCGGAAGACGCGATGAGGCTCCGCATCAATCGCAAGGGTTGTGGTGATCGTGGAGCGCAGCTCAGACCCGCTGCTTCTACAGGGCTGCTTTTTTTTTAACGCGAGCGACAAATGGTTCGCGTCAACGCAGCCTCCGTCGCCGTTTGGCGATTAGCAGCGGCGGCCCAACCTGACCCATTCTGCTAGCCGAGCTGCGCTGGGCCTCAGCAGAAGCTAATTGGGCGTCAGAAGCCGGCGGGCTTCAGCGAGCGAGCGAGCGAGCTTTGTCTGTAGGTCGCCGTTACCAGTCTGCGGCCCCCGTGGTTAGCAGGAATTGGCTCGGAAGCTTTCCTATTAAAATCTCTGCTGGAAGCGGTGACTCTTCTCACGGCTTGAGCATTTCATGGCGTTTCGAGTTGATTCTGTTGCTGTGGACGGATTAGTCGGGTTTTTTTTTTCTTTCAGCTCTCTTGACCAATTAATTAGTTATTCGCCTCGACGCTGGCTGCTACGTTTAGCCTGAGAAGCGCTTTGAGACGTCTCAGCGACGTGATAAGGCGCTGTGTCAAATACAAATACAAATAAATTATTACTGCGATGTCTGCTTACTCGGGAGGAGTTACTGTAAGACGCTTTGATGAGTTTTGACGTGATGTGTCATAAAAACAAAACTTTCCTCTTTCTTTTTCTTTCTTCCCATGAGCGCCTCCGATGGCGCAGCCACAATCCCAACAACACCAGCAGCAACTTGTGTTTATAATCACGTCCCCTCACGCAGGGTAGAGTCCCGGAGCGGCTCTTGCAAGCGTGAAACTCCCAAGTGAGAACCGGTGTGGAATCGCAGAGACATTCGGGCGCTGCGCAGCTTAACGTGCATTTATTTTTCAAATGGATTAATTTCCACGATTGCGTTGGGAGACGAGAGCTTATATCGGCACAGGCCGTTTTTCAAAGGACTGATGGCACGAGAGATGTCGATTGTCTGGTCCTCAGGTAGCGGCCCAATTCGTTACTTCGGAGCCCGTTATGTCGATATACGCTCAAACATATTTTCGTAACGAATGTGCGATTAGATATTGCCTTTCGAACTTCAGATTAAAAGCTACTTAGATGAGAAAAGTGAAAGGAAATGAGCACGTCAGCCCTTTGTGCATGAATAATCACGAACAAAAGCCCCTTAAATATCATCCCGGATTGACATTGTGCCAGAATTGCTTTGCTGTGTGTTTGAAACCAGACTTCAGCCGTCCAGCTGCAGATATTATGTGCTATCACGAGAGGCTGTGTGGGGTTGGCCTTTAAACTGGTATGATGGTGCAGGACTAAAGTGTACCCCTCTCCTCGCCTCGGTTTGGCTGCACTCTGAGGTGACTTCCCAGCACGAAAGACGCCGTATAAATGTAAATCGCATTGCACAACCCTGGTTTTAACCATATTCAGGGAACGTGCGGGGGGGCACGGAAAAGGGAGAAGGATTGCCTGAGAATTTTAAGCACGGGAAAAGGTTAATGAGCCCAATGAGCCTGCCCCATTAATGTTTTTCTCATATCTCTTAGAGTGCAGTTCACATCGTTCTTGAAAAAGGGTTGGAAGAGCAGAAAATCGCCGTCCTCCATATAATAAGCAGAAACGTGTCAAATTCGCTGACAATTCTGATAAAAGTGCGAGCGGATATGGGATAGATTGATACCTATAACACCGTCGATAAGTAGCACCAAACAAAACATGGGGGTACAGTAGATGACAGCTAATTTTTGTCACATTGTGATTGATATACCATCTCACCGTGATGCTTAGA